GGTTTTTTTTGTCTTCTTAAGAGCAGTGTGTCTTCACGTCAGGTGTGTGTGTGTGTGTGTGTGTGTGTGTGTGTTTTGGGTGAAATGTCACTCATGCGTCACCTGTTTGTTTTTTGTTTGTACTTTCTTCAGCATGTGTGTATGTGTGTGTGTGCGTGTGTGTGTGTGTGTGTGTACTTGTGGAATTTTTATTTTTTTTCTGCGCAGCTTTGAGTTCTCTGTTGTTGGATTTCAGTTTTCCTGTGACTAAGAGACTGTGTGTGTGTTTGTGTGTGTGTTGTCTGTGGGTGGGTGTGATTTGTGTGTGTGTTTTGTGTGTGTGTATGTGTGTGTGTGTGGGCGCCTGGTGAGTTCTCTCCCAGCTCCAGCTCTGATTTATCTCAGGTTCATGACTTCACTCAGATTCACAGGTTCAACTCAGATCTACTGCAGTACAGACCCACACCTGGAGGGGGGGCAATGGAGGGGGGGGTTACTTCATACACAACACTTTAGTACACGCCACTGTAGCCCTAAAGTGCCGCCCACTCAGTGGTGTGTACCAGTGTGTGTACTGGTGCAGTACAAGTATGTATCTGATATCTGTTAGTAGCAGTACTGTAGTAATTCAACTGTTACAAACCACAAATATACTCCAATATACACAGTTTACTATAAATGTTATAAATATATTTTTTTTTTTTGTCTTGGAATTCTTTCACTCACCCTGATAACAGCCCCACCCTGATAACAGCCCCACCCTGATAACAGCCCCACCCTGGGGCAGTTGCTGGTCCCTGGACTTCTTTCTGGAAACAACATAAAAACCTAATCACATGTATAAATACTTTGTTCTTTGATAGTTTGAAGTACTCCTCCAGATTACGACGCCTGTTTTTAATCTGGCTCTTTCCGTCTGAAGAGACGTTGGGGGAAACCGAGGCTCATAACACTCACCTGTTCAGAACATTTACGACCAGCGGGGGCGTCGTTGAGGGCACTCTAATTACCAACAGCCCCGTGGTGTACAGTACGTCAGCAAATACACAGAGTACACGCAGGTATTTTAGCTTCTAATCCACGTTGGTTAAACGCCCTCGTGTCCTTGAACGCTGGTGCAGTTTGTCTGGACCAATGACGTGAAGCTTTTGGTCACATGACGTGAACGGAAATAGAGGGACCGGGGGTGTGTTGTGGGGGGGGGGGGGAAGGGGGGAGCTGCAGGGTATTTGTCTAAATTTAAAAACTGTCCTATCATCCAAATATTTTACGACCCCACTGCAGCCACTTGGCCGGCCCCCTAGTGGTGGTGGAATGGAAGGTTCCCTGCTGTTGTTGCTGTTTTATTTTAACAGCTCTGTAATTTTCTGAGCTGTTGCTAAGGATGTTTCCTGTTTCCACTGCAGCGGTCAGTTGGTCAGCACACACTCACCGACACCTCACGCCTGTAGTCACCCCCTGCCGTACGGTTCTGGTGTACAGTGTGGGTTCTGGGTGGAGAGCAGTTCTCTCTTCAACCTCTAGGTTTCCTGGTCCTTTGTGCTGTGGCCATTTAGAGCTCATTTTTTACAGTTGCTGAAGTCATTAGTCATTTGCTAATTACCATATTGAATGGGGGAGACCAGCCGGGGGAATTCTAATGAGCGTTAAGTGCTGCAGCAGAATCTGTGTGTGATGATGATGAAAGGATAAGGATTCTAACGGTTCCACTGACTTGGTTTCATTATCATCAAACATCACAGTAAGAGACGTCATCTGAGCTTTTATGTAAAATCACTTGATTAATTAAAATTATATATATATATATGTAATTAATATAATATGGAATAACATTTAGAGCAGAGTTCTGGAGAGGAGTTCTGTTCAGATTATTAGTTCTGGGCCATTTTATTTCCCATGATTCAAGTGTCAAACGACAGACTTTCTGGTTTTCTTCTTCTTCTGGTTCAGGTGCTGCCGACACACCAGGTCCACAGACACCTCCACCCACTGTGGTGGAGGTGTCTGTGGACCTCACTCACAGACTCCACAAAGAACTGGCACAGAAACTGATTTTTGTTTTTCCAGCTGTCATGTAAACACTATTAAAGTTCTTCTGCTTCTTCAGGGGATATTTTTGCCCAGATTATCCAGTCAGTGTGAAAGAAAGTCTCAAAACTCCTGTCAACTGTGTTTTCAGTGAAATGTTCAGTTCAGAGAAAGAAGAGAAAATATCACAGATCTGTGTTTTCTTCATCTCAAACCCTGTACTTTATTTTGGCCACATTTATAGAACTGAAGCTGCTGCCCCCTGCTGTTGACATTTGTTAGACGATGAGTCCATTTTAATCCTGATGTAAATCTGAGCATATATCTGCCTCGATGCTGATTGGTCGATGACGTTTCTGCTCCCTGTCATGTTCATGCTAAAGCAGTTAAAGGAATAATCCACGAGTCGTCGTGTTGACAGGACGATGGTGTCTCTGTACGGCGTGTACTCCTGGAGCCGTCGTCTTATTGGCTGCTCTGTGGTACTGTTGGTGGAGTAAACAGAGACAAACGGTTCTGTTCCACAGGTGGGAGAACCAACACCAACCACTCAGGTTCTTCATTTTACCACAGAGACCGGTCCAGTGTCTGGTTCTCCAGCCACACACACACACACACACACACACAGTGTGTCCTGTCAGTCACTGCTCAGTGCTGAGTGGACAGCGCCTGGTGCTGAAATCAACAGTCAGTGTGAGCAGCTGATGACTCCGTATCTGACCCACTGCAGGCCAAAAAAAACAAACTGCTGTCGACCTTAAAGCTCAAAGAGGGACAGAGGGGGGAGGATGGGGGGAGGGAGG